TCATTCTTATCTCTCATGACCTTCGTTTGAAGCCTAGGAGGCTAAGAACAGACGTACCTCAACATTTTTTACTCCACAAAATCTTTGAGCTCATTTTTGGAAAATAAAAACCCTATTAAAAGCGTGTAGGTCCACACTGGAAAAAATCTAAATCTAGATAAGTCATTATTTCTTAAAATAAGTGCAATTTTTCTTTGATTGAGGAGGAAAATTGCATTTTATCTAAAAAAATCTTATTTTAAGAGTAAAAGCATTCATTCCATTGGCAAACTATCTCACTTACCTACTCAAATTAAGGGTAAATGCATGTAATTTCAAAAATTTTGACTTACTTCTAGATTGTTTTTCCAGCATCAGCCTCCACCTTTCGAGTGTCCCCACCAACTTTCATCACAAAGATACACACTGCAAAAATGATCTCAAAAGGAGTAAAAATGTCTTAAATTAAGTGTATTTACCCTTGATTTGAGCAGGTAAATAATATTTATTGCCAATGGAATTAGTATTTTTACTCTTAAAATAAGGTATCTAGATAAAATGCACTTGAAATAAGACAAAACATTTTTTTTTTCTTATTTTAAGTGTAAATTGTCTCGTTCCATTGGCAAAGTGTCTCACTTAAATCCTTAATTCAAGAAAAATGCACTTATTTTAAGAAGAAATTACTTATTTAGATATCATTTTTTTTGCAGTGCACCCTTGGTAATGACTGTAGGTATGCTGGTCTGACGGGGGTATGCCCATCTGACAGAACACCGTACTCTGGTTGGTGGTAAAGACTCGTTACGATTGGATAAAATCCGTCCTTCTTCAGCGACTCAGATGTTCAGATCAAAGCCACTGATTTAACGGCGTGAAGAATAATTCACTGACTTGTTAATTTCATTTATTTTAGAACGATAATTCGTCCGTGAGTGTTTTTATAATTGCTGCAGCTGCAGTCAGAAAGAGCTGGAGGAGTAGATCTTCATTTGCACCCCCCACACACACACACACATACCTCTAACCGCCCGCTTGGCTTCTCGTTATATCAGTTTTTAACTGGGGTGCCCACGCAGTCCCCATAATCAGCGGGCTGCAGCTTCCTGCGGGGGCAGCAGCAAACCTCAGCGCAGCGCAGAGCTGATCAATAAGTCAGCCTCCAGTTTGCAGCTTGACGCTGGATGAGAGGCACGATCAGGAGGTAACGTCACTTCTTCTCCTGATCAGAGGTGCCACACAGATTCCTGTCTTCATGCATTATTGAGGGCTGCAGGTTTCGCTGGGCGTTTAGCATGCGGTTCAGGTCAGCTTGGAGGTTTTTCTCTGAGAGCTCAGCTCGTTAGCTCTGCTTTTATTCAAATTATTCTTATTTTTGGAAAATCTGTATGTTTTTTTACACCAATCTTTGCACTTGAAAAAATTGAAATCTATAATTGCATTTATTCTTGGATTGAGGAAGAAAAAAGAGACATTTTGTCAATGGAACAAGACAACTTCCACTTAAAATCAGAAAACACAATTGCATTGTCCTATTTCAAGTGCAAATTATCTAATTATCTAATTTTAAGAGTAAAAATACTCATTCTATTGTGAAACTATCTAACTTACCTACTAAAATGAAGGGAAAATACACTTAATTTAGGAAATTTTAACTTATTTCTTGATAGTTTTTTCAGTGTGGCCTCCTACACTCAGGTTGACATTAGTAAGCGTACTAACTGATAATCTACACTGCAAAAACGATCTAGAAAT